TTCAATTGTTTCTAAATTATTAAGAGCCATTTATTCTGACCCAGTAAGGGGATTTGTATCAGCTTGCATATATTTCTTAAAATAAGTATTCTAATTTTAACTTGATAGAATCTCTAAGGAGTCACCATCCAGATCACAAGACATAGTTTGAACTGAAGCCAGCAACAACACTGCTTATGTTAGCTGTTAAAATAATCCCGGTGACCTGATGTTACCACAAGATCAGATGGACATCCTATGGCTAGTTCAGTGGTTAGTGACAGATGAGGCTGCAAACCTATTGAGAATAGAAAGGAACTAATCCAGGACAATACACCCAGAAGCAATTTAATCAGTCAATTTTATATGCAATGTTATATTAGATACTAAGAAAGAGAAAGCAGTACTTGCATGGTACTCTTCTGGAAATGTGCCCAAGGCACCGGGCATCCTCTTAATCACCCCAAAATTGTACATGCTCTTGGTCTCTTCACCACTCACTCATATGTCTGTTCAGATTCACATTATACTGTGACAGCTTCACAACAGCTTTTCCCCACTAGTGATGAATACGTCTCTCCTCAGCAAAATGTACATCTCTCACCCATCCACATTCTGTCAGGAGCCTGGCATGATGGCTCATGCCTGAACTCTTAGCACTTGGGAATGAGGAGCTGAGGTAAGAGGATTGTTATAAGTTTGAGGACAGTATGAGTTACATAGTGAGTTCAAGGCCAGCCCGACCTAGTACAAATGTTTTTTAAAAGTCACAAACTCAAATGCCTATGAGATATGGTTAATCCTGCAGAGGGAGTTGTATACGAAGTGAAGTAGGGATGTGAAACACAGAAGCATTCCTGTCCTGTCCCCAGTTACAACTGTTTCATAGCTACAAACAACATGGCATACTGTTTTCCATCTTTGCAAGTGAACCCTCTTCATAGTACTTAGAAGTCAGAGCATCAGCACTCTATAGTGTTGATTGGACCTAGACAATTGCATTGCCTGTCAGGCTAGCATTTCTCCACAAAGTCTCAGAATGTCAAGAGGAAGAGTTTCCTGGTGTAGCATGTCATTCTCTGCCTCTACCAGCTGACTGCTCACCATCAAACTGGAGCTTGCACCCATGTGCCAATATCTATACCTGTACTACACACCCATTTCCTCCATGTTTCTGAGGATGAACTGTCCTGCCTCTTCCCTGAGCACAACCTCTCCATGTGTATACTGGATTTCTTCCTTTTTATCCTATCAAAGGCATCACTCTTGGCTCTACTCTCAGTCCTCTGCTTTATTAATGGCATCCCTCCACATCCATTCCTATTGCTAGAAACATGTAACATCTGCTTTCTTTTCCACTCAGCTGCCACCCACTTCCTGTTCCTTTTAGAAGCAGGCATCTGGGAAAGCTGTGTACATTTACAACCTCCATTCTCTTAGGCACGCTTCAGCCAGGTTTCTTCTCCACCACTCCACTGCATGTATGCTTGCTGAAGTCACTCATGACCTCTCCATTCTACATTCTATACCATCTTAAAGCTGTCTTTCATCTACAATAGCACTCCACACAGATCAAGTGTTCCTTTCTCCTGGAAACAGTTTCATTGTGTGGCTTTCCACAATAGCATCTCTTCGCTGGGTCTCCTTGTACCTTTCTGTTCTGGGTCTATTACTTCTTCTCCCCATGCTCAGTCTTCAGGAATCTTCTACCAATAAGTAGTCCATTGGTTACATCATCTTGTTTAGTGGCTATAAATATTTATTTGCTAGCAGCTTTAGTAGTTTCGTCTCATTCAGACCTATCTCCTGAATGTCTGACTTGTTTAAAATTGACTCTGGCAATTCCATAGATGTATATATGCCCTTATTCCATAGATGCATGTATCCTCTCACCCACTAGTGTCTCTTATTTCTCTCCCTTTTCTATATACTCCCCTTCCTTACTAACTGCTACAGTCATGGCTTTTGTTATGCTTGTGGGTGACCCACTGAGTTTGATTGGGGCCATCTTTGTGCTCATGGATTCGGAGCTATCCTATCCAGTGGATTCTGATCACCTCAGCATGGAGTACACACCTGAAAACAATGGCTCCCTCTTACAGAGTCTATCAGTAGCCAATAGTTCCTCCTTTTCCCTAACCCTGGCTGACACTAGGCAGGCCTGCCTCGTGCAGTCTCAAAGTGAGACAGCACAGCCGCTGTGAGTCCATGAGTGTACAGCTGCAGCGAGTCCATGAGTGCAGCAGCTCTATGGCATCTCGACAGTGGCACTGCAAAGCCTTCTTTTTCCTGTTTCCCAGCACTTGCATCCTTTGCATCCCTTCTATTGCAATCATGCATGTTGCCTGAGCAATAAAGGGGTAGTAGAAATGCCTGATTTATGGTTGGAGGAATCCTTTTATATCAGTTTATCATTTTACAGTCTCACTAGGATGTTAATATATACTTCCCAACTTTTATACACCTAACATCTATCTCCAAAGTCCTTCTTACTTCATGAAAGGCAACACTCACACCCTACAAACCTACTGGTCATATTCAACATATTCCACCAGATACTTGATTTTTCAAAGGATGTTGGAAGACTAGGTCTTATGTGAAATTAATTTTCATATTGTGGTGCTGGGAGTCAACCCCTAATTTTTAAACAATGACAACTCAATTTAATAAAATTATGCATAGCACAAATGAAAGAAACGTATGAACAAATGCAGCCTAAGGGTTTAAGATCTGTGAGAAGGGATAGTCCTCTAATCTTGGTTTTTTCCTTCTATGAGCCCCTCTCCATTTGAGATTTTAATCTTCAGCAAGGTCCTGCTTGTGGAAGTTCACTCTTTTCACATCTTTTTGTCCATTCTGGACACCTCTCCAAGCTGATGTACCTCCTAAGAGGGCATTAGGCTTAACTTCATGGCTCAAATACACGTTAATTCCCATGAGGCCATCTTAGTTGAAACTGCAATGTAATAGTATATGTTTTAAAAGTGTATATGGGTGCACACTAAGTATGCATGCATACATGTCCGCAGTGCGTATGTGTGTGTTTATGGATACATGTGTATGTGTCTATTTTTGATTGGCTTATGTGAACAACATTTGGAAACAACTAAAGGCTTTAGAAATATCTTAGCAAATGGTTATGTGAAGTTTTAAGACAAACTCTCCATCCTTTCTAGTGAAGCCCCTTGCTTTAAACCATTCTTCAGCCTCTCCTACATGCCATATCCCATGGTCACCAATGGGAGGCAGCATGTACCAGAGCTGCTCAGCCCTAGAAGCCAGCAGGCTATTCTGAACACAATATAGGCTTTAATTTGTAGGCCTCTCTGTAGAAAACACTGATGGTGCAGGACAGGCTAATTTAGTCTAAAAAATTATTCTGACATTGATACACTAACATAAAACATAAAAGAAATGGAACTACCTATATCTTCTCATCCTTTTCCCAATGTCAGAAAAGAGAGGGAATGTCTATAAAGCTAGGTCTCTAGAATAAAAACAAAAACATTTTCTGGCAGAGGGAAGGGAAAATGAATTCTCAAATTTGGTTTCAGGATTCTTAAATAAGCAGAAATGGGGTAGAAAAGGTTTGGCTTTGAGCAGTCATATCAAAGCAATAAAGAGCTGGTCCCACTGACAGCAAGCTACCATAGGGTAGCATAAATGTGTCATCCTGCAGGTTGCATGATCAGTGATCAATGGAACTGATCCAGATTTCCTCAATGTGCCATTCACTCTACAGAAATGGTGACAAAACAAGGACCTTGACAAAGCCAGCATCACTCGCTGCACTAGGAAGAAGAAGCTACCCTGGCCGTTATGATCATTTAGATCTCAAACGTTGGGAATTTTATTTAGAGCACATGCAACAGCAGGGCTCTTTGGAGATAGGGACCAAAGCTCTAGCAAAAAAAGTCCTTCTTTCGTAGCACTAAGACTTCTCTCGCATGCCTTTAATTCCAGCACTTGGGAGGCAGTGGTAGGTGGATTTCTGAGTTCAAGGCCAGCCTGGTCTACAAAGTGAGTTCCAGGACAGTCAGGGCTACACAGAGAAACCCTGTCTCAAAAAAACAAAACAAACAAACAAACAAAAAACCAACAACAACAACAAAAGACTTCTCTCCCTGCTTCTTCTGTGTTAAAAAAACACAAGCAGTGCTCAAGGCAACCAAGCTGTCCAGAGAGGTGGGGTGTGTCTGGTGTTGGCACATAAGATGGAAAGCAGATTAAACTAAGCCACAGGGAAACAGAAGCTTCATGAACACGAAGTTCATCATGTTCAGGAACTGAAGCTAAATAGATAACATCAGATTTGTG